ACTGTTGGAAATGGCAAATGTAAATTATATAATTTAATTTTCATTTTACTTTTGCACCAAACTTTGCACCTATGGGTAATGGAAAATGTAAATTTAAATACAGAAATACAATGCCATTTTGAATATTGCGTTGCCATTTTGCATATTGCATTTTAAATTGAATTTCGCTACCTATATGCTTCCATACAAAAGAACAACATTTATTTTAAATATAAATCTTTTGTAACATTATACATTTTTACAAATGTACTGTCTCTCTTGATCAAATAAAAGCATCATTGCTGAGTGAAAGTATTTATTTAAAAAAATCTGATTTTCCAAATCCTTTTACAAATAAACTACATTACAGTAATAATTTCCCGAAAAGTGGATGAACTTGGAAATTTGAGGAATGTCCCCTGTCAGGTGTGCTATGCCTCTGAATTTATTTATCCATTCATTGGCCCAATATCTCTTGAATTGGTTTTGAACATTTCATTTCAGCTTAAATGTTTTTTTGTTTTTTTCCAGAAATAGTTTTGTTGTCTGAATGTCCTGGAAATGATTAGCATGTATCTGAAAAGCCCCCATAGAACATACAGTTAATCTGCCTCTCCAGTTTAAGCTGGTTCGATGGCTTTTGTCAACAGTGGCAGCCAGCGTACATTAGTTATTATGATGAGCATGATGTGCCCAAAGCAAAGTGCAAAAGAATTAAAACCGTCACACACTTTTTTCCCCCAGACATGCAAGCACACACACACACACACACACACACATATGCACATGTCAAACCCATCTCTTATTGTAACTCCCCCACTGGTGTGTTAGCATATACGTGTGTTGTGTGTGAGAGTGAGAGTTAATTTCTCAGAGGACAACTCATCTGTACCCTGATGAATGACTGTGCCTGGCTGGATGTCTGATTTATTCCTGCCTTCATTTAACTTGATTGATTAGTACAGCAGAGATAAATGTCCTACAATTCACTGCTCCGTAGGGGTAGCAAGGTGTCATTTTGGCTCAGCACAGAGTTGCGCTCGTACCATGAAACCCTATTGTCCATCAGACCCCCCATAGTGCCTTACTGTTTATAATTATGAAGGAGAGACCAGGAAAAGGCTCAGACAGGTTGATCAGACTGTCTTTAGTTATGCAGATGTTGCCTGGGAACTTTTTTATCTTTGAAGGGGTCACAGAAGTGCAATAGACAGCAGAATTAACATCATATCAGATCATGGGAAGCTATTAGTGCTGAAGGGGTCACTGAGGTGCAATGAGCAGCAGAATTAGCACTGAGGCGGTAAGGAGCTATGCTGTTATAGATGGATGGAAATGCTGAAATAAGGATAAGGAAAGGATCAGTGCAAGTAGCATAAAGGGCGTACTGTATGGACAAGCAGTTTCTGTTTAATAGAGATTTTATTAATCTTGCTTTCTCCATCTTCCTTTCCCCTCTCCTTCTATTTCATTTAATAATTTTTGTGTGAGATATAGAGTGAGATATAAATAATAAACTACATTTTTCCTTGCATCTATACAAAGTTCTGTCATAAAAACAGATCTAGATTGGCCTCAACCCAATCTGTCAGTAATCACATATACCTACATGGTGCAGCTGATTGGTTTCAGCCAATGAGCTTGCTGCTTAATATTCAAATATTTGACCAGTGTTTTCTGTAGCAGTTTGTAGAGTGCTTGCAGAAACCCTTCACCTTCCCCAGCTCCACCTGTATAGATCTCCTAAAGGTAATTTTTTTGGGCATTTTTTTTTGTCTTTATAAAGATAGGACAGTGTAGAGCAGGCAGGAAGCAAAGTGGGAGAAAGAGAGGGTGCGGGATCAGGAAAGGTCCTCGAGCCGGGATTCAAACTCGGGACGCCCGTAACGTAACAGCATTATATGTCGGTGTGCTGCCTGCTAAGGTATCAGCACCGTCTGCTGCGGGTAATTTCATGTTTGTTATAAGTGCAGGGTAATTTCATGTATGTTATATATTTTATGTGATGTCATTGCTGTGTGATTGCTAGGGTGATTAGAGTTGTTGCTAGGGTATTGCTTACTGTCCCAAGTCAAAAGAGATATTCTGGTTTCTAGTTATGGCTCAAGGTTGCTTCCTCAGTGTATGAGAATTTTCTTCCTGACCATTTTATGAAAAGTGATAGTGGATTGGAACAAAATGGATTGTTCAACTCCTTAACTGTCAATATGAGCCACAGTAATATTGATAACAAGCACTTGCTGTAATTAATATATGCTTTTTTTTATATATGTATGCACATCTACAGTAGTAATTTTTGGAGAAGATTGCCAGCTGACCTTGTTCCGGATGGCTTGACGTTCACTGCAGGAATGATGTGTTTTGTGTGTGTGAGGGCAGTGGCAGCAATATTTTTGGACTGAAGAGGCGGGTTGTGGCTGCCTGCAGTAAAGCCAGCAGACCTCTTTAGCTCTAATTGGGCCTCTGTGTGCGTGCATGTGTCAGAGGTATGACAATGTCACAGTTCCCTGTCTCTGTGGGTATCTCCAAGAGTGTGACGAAGAGAGAGAAACATATAGAGGATAGAGTAGAGGGGAGCTAGAGGTCCTGGTATCTTTAAGGTGTTGTTAATAAGGCAGGTGGCTTATCCTTCAGACCTTTCTCAAGTTGAGACACATGCATACAGTCATCCCACATGTCCTAGTCACTGTATGAGTATAATTACAATTCAGAAGCTATGGAATACTAGTGTACTGCAGGGTATACAAGTATACAACCAACAAGGTCTATAATCTAATCTAGAAATCTATTCGTTAGGCCTATCCTTCACATTTATGAATTTTAGGAATCAGCCACTGAAGTATCACTGAAGATAGTGATAGTAATTTAAAAATGAACTGTATACTGATCAACCACTAATCTGAATATGGATGTCTGCTAGTGGTTACTGCCTTACAGCTCTCTCTTTTTAGTAATAATATTATTCTTATTTTTTTATATATTTGATTTTAACATATGAGACATTATTATAAAATAACCTTATTCCCACTTGTCTGCATGCGCATTTCCACAAGTGCTACTCAGTTTTTGCACAATAAAATGGGTTAGTTTGCATTTTTATCTGATTCTTGTTGTAAATCACGATAGTCTGGTCAAATATTGATAAAAATCATGGACAATATTAAGATACTTGCAGTTTATTCATCAGGAAGTTGTGCATTACTTTATGGGATACAGTATTCCATGCCATATTCTGTTGTATATTTTGGCAAATGTAGTAGCCCATTCAGGTAATCCATGCATTCAAAAATCATTACATTCTGGCGTATACTATATTCTGCAGAAACGTTAATGTATGTAATGCAATTCTGAATAGTTTGCTTCAAGCTTCATTGGATGTAATTTGTTTAGTAAAACACATTTATGTTGAATAATTGTGTTCCACGGCCATTTGTTCTGTACCTTCAGAACATATATTATGCAAGCAATATAATCCTTCCTAATCATAGTGGGGTGTTGTGAATGTAGCTGTGCTTAAGCATATTTGTGTGTGTGTGGGTGCGTGTGTTCGTCTGGCTCCTCCTCTCTGGATGCTCCTGTAATGATGTTGCACTCGGTTTATTGATTAGTTGGGTCTGCTGAGGTTCATCCCCACTGTCTGCTGGAGACAGAGATAGAGCCGCCATCATTATGCTAAACAAGAGGAGACTGCGCTTAATTAGAAAATAATGAGAACTCTCTTTCAGCCTTCTTTGTGCTTTCACTGGCTCCCTTTTCTCTCTATACATCAGTCTCATGCTGTGCATTCTCTCTCTTTCTCTTCCCCTTGATTCAATTCTGTTCCATTCATTGTGCTATATTGGCCTGACTGTTTTCCCCATAGTATTGCCAAAGCCTTCAGTCAATACAACAACAGTACAAAACAAAGCTATATAAAGAAACAAAGCTGCTGATGTGCAACAAAGGAATTATGGGAAGGTTAATATACATTCCAATATGTTATGTTCCAATATATACAGTATGTTCCAATTTTTTAAATAAATGGTGTTCTTTTAAACTTTCTATTCATCAAGAAATCCTGAAAAATTCAAAATATCACAAACATATTAAGCCTCACAACTATTTTCAACATTGATAATAATATGAAGTGTTTTTGAGCACTAAATTAGAGTACTATGATTTCTGAAGGATCATGTGACACTGAAGCCTGGAGGAATGACTGCTACAAGTTCAGCTTTGCCATCACAAATATCAATAAAATATCAATAATAAATATCAAAATAGAAAAAAAGTAAATTGTAATAATATTTCACAATATTACTGTTTTTACTTAATTTGTAATCAAATAAATGTAACCTTGACTTAAAAAAACTAACATTGCAGACCCCAGCCTTTAGATTGGTCGTGTATATGAAAGTTATTAAATAATAATAGCTAGCTAAGCTAAGGACTGTTCTATTAAAAAAAAAAAAACACTCGTTCTGATTGTAAATAGCTGGCAGAAAATTTCAGACACATGATGTGATTCCAGAAATATTGCCAGGGGAAATGTAACATTGTAGATTTGATCAACTCTACTTAATCACTAAAATAGCTTAGCAACATTATTTTAAAATCAGCTTCTTTTAAAATTTAAATAACACTTGGATGTAAACGTGACTCCCCTCCTCATGTTTTCTGGATAGAGCCGCAGCAAAAACACTGACGGTTTAAAAAGCATGCTGCAATCCTACTGTTGTTGTTGCACTGAAGCTACAGATGCAGAATGTGTGTAACAGACCTACTACTAGCTTCACTATTTGTAGCAATTGTATTGATGCTCAACACCAGAAAGACAGTCTTTCTTTATATCACTTATCCCAGTATGCCTCTTGATTCAACCTGGGTAGGCCTGACGTATACCCCTGGGTCATGTTCTTGGGCATTATCGGTGTGAGTTACTATTAGGAAATCTCCCATTGAGTTGCCTCTCCCCATGCAAGCATTGCTAACCTTTGTTTCCTGCTCTTTTTCCTGTCTTGAACTGTCATTCTCACTCACAGGCGATTCATTCTGTGGCTTGGCACCACGAGGGGAAGCAGTTTATCTGTAGTCACTCAGACGGCACCCTGACCATATGGAATATAAAGTCCCAAGCCAAGCCCTCACAGACAATCACGCCACACGGTTAGTGATCTTTCTCGTTTCTGGCTCAAACACACAAACTCATTTTCTTCAAATTCATTTTTTGTCAGGATAAGGGTTGCAAAATTAATTGCTCTTATGTCTATTTCACAAGGTTGTATCACACCTCTCTCAAAGACTTGTTAATTCAGGGTTGTAATTTGATTTTTTCTCCTCCTCCTTCACAAAGCAGCTTAAAAACAATTGCCTCCCCTTCCCTGATTTCCATTTCAAGTGAAGCTTTAATTTTCATTTTCATTTTGCTCCACCATGGAGACTGTCTGTGTTGTGGTCTGATAAGTGAGGTGAGGTCATGCGCTTCCTTTTGGTGCACGTCCTTGCCTGCTCTATTGAAGATACTCCACTACGGTCCGCTCTTGATTCAAGAACCCCTTCAGCCTCACCATGCCTCCATGAGAGGAGAACACCAAACAGACAGATTTAGAAACTAATTGGGAAAAGTCATAAAATATTGTCAGAATTTTGGTATTTTCAATCCATAGGCATTAGTAGGCCCTGTTTAGGGAGGAATTAGCCCCGCTGTCTTTTATCTTGGCCACATTAAAAATCTTAGACTAATCTGTTCCATTTTTCTCTTTCAAGCAGATGCAGTTTTTCTTATTTTAATTTATGTCTATTTAAATATATAAATAGCAGCACAATTCTTTAAATTTAAATGCAGTATTTGAGCTATTTGCTCATAAGGCAAAAATATTCTTCTGAGCCCAACTAAAGACCGAAATCCTGGAATCACCCTTTTCAGTTCAAAGCTTTTTTGGGACACTTACCATTTTAAGGATTGTCGTTCAACAAACTGCTTTGGAGGAGAAGAAAATTACATAAATCGGTATGTTTAATAGTGAACATTTCTGTTTGTTATGAAAATACTTCCTGTCTGTGGGAGAGAGAGGCTCTTTTCCAAATGACACCCTCAGCCTCTGCTGCCGTCTACTCTTTGGTGACATAATTCTTGATAGACTGTTGGCTGTAAAGTCTCCTCCTAAAATTCCAAATGACAGCTTCAGTCTTTTAAGTTTTGAAAATGTACAGGAAGTTTTGTGGCTTTACTCTATTGGATATGAAACCCCCTGTTTGCTAAAACAGAAAAAAACCAAAAACAAAGACCAGCCATTTGATAACTTCCTGTTTCAATCTGAAATATGTGAATGGCTTCATGCTCGTCAGATGATTTAATGGGGTCTTTAGCAAGTCCACACCAAGTGTACTGTTTGGGACAGAGCCAGAAAAAGAGGTTAGGAAACTCTATGAATTAGTCTGATTCTGTTTCAGGAAAGCAGCCTAAAGATGGAAAAAAGCCAGAGCCTTGCAAACCCATTCTTAAAGTAGAGTACAAGACCACACGAGCAGGGTAAGTGCACATATACAGCAATACATTTTTGTTTTTCCTGACCATCTTAGACCATCATGAATGGTGGTCCAGGCTGGTTTTTGCTGGTCAAGCTGCTAAACCAGCATTGTGTTCATAAGTTAAACTTTTCTAGCGAAATGTTGTTTTTAAATAAATGTGGAGTCCAACAGTCTGAGACCACATTGAAATATGGAATAAAAAATTAATTTCAAGCTCATTTAGACCTGGAAGTAAGCAAAAAGTTACAATGTAAAATAAATAACAAGTACTTAAGATTCTGCAGGATTTCTAGGTCACAACCAAATAAACAAACTTGTGGAGCTCAAGTGCTTCTTTTGTTAAAGGAAAAGGCATTCTAAAAGACATTCATTTCAGCTTCTCACTCAGATTGTTATGCAAATAATATAATTTGAGAAAAATACAAGCACAAACTTTCCAACTTTTGAAACTCACTGTACGGTATATGTTTGTGTTCCGAACAGGGATCCGTTTATGATCTTCTCTGGTGGTTTGTCGTATGACACCGTTGGTCGACGACCATGCTTGACAGTAATGCATGGAAAGAGCACGGCAGTATTGGAGATGGATTATCCCATTGTAGATTTCCTCACCCTGTGTGAAACACCATATCCTAATGGTATGTAGGTCGATTTACTCATTAACAGCACCTGCTCTGTCCAATATTGTTGCAATAAGTGCTCAGTCTTTTTATCTCATACCACTTCCTCTCTTTTCATTTTTTGCTGACATTTGAACCTTTGTTTTGTTGGGTTGTTCTATTCTTTCGTGTTCTTTGTAGATGAGCTTGAGCTCTCCCAGTGGAACTGCTGCCTAGTAATTACATTTTACATAACTTTTTTTAAAGCTCCCTCTATTCATAACATCCAGTTCTGTGACTGCATTCGTTTATTATTGCCGTACCCATTTGAATAATTTATCACTTTGGTGGCTATTTATGAATAGTAAGTGTTTTCTTTTCTCTCTGCATGCAGCTGTAGCAAAGGCTGATAGGACTTTAGTTTGTTAATAGTCTGTCAATAATTTGCTGTGAAAAAGAGAACATTAAATATACTTATTATGGGCTCAATATACTTATTATGGGCTCTTTGAAATACTCGATGCTCCGATTGGCCAGACTCTGATTTTTGTTTTCCCTAAAATGTCTGTTGAGCTAAATTTCAGCATTGCTTTTGAGTATTACTGATATAAAGACGAAAGAGAGGAAAACGTGAGTTGTTCAAGACTGTTCAAGAGTTTGAGGTCTTTTTTTTCTTTTTCTTTTTTTGAAAGAAATTAATACATTTATTATGCAAGTATGCATAACATTTAAAATAAAGAAGTGACAATAAGCATACTGATAATGTTGTAAGATTTCTATTGCAAATAAATGCTGTTCTTTTAAACTTGTTTTCTATGTTATGGACTTTTTTCTTAGTGAAAAGCTGAGTAAGATAAATTAAGTTCAACTCGAATCAATATTTTAGTCACCATGATTTGTGTTGGGGTTTATTTTGAGGTAATGACAAGCTGACTGTACTTTATCCCTTACATAACATATCACATACTTTTAGCTTGTGCATGGTGCTGGATTAAAAACAAGATTTTTTTCTTGTGATTCACCTTGCTTTTACAGATAATCATGCAGTTGTTCTTGCCTAAACAAAGCATCTGTGTTCATATATTTGCATTCAATGCTTAACCGTTTTGTTTAGAGTTTGCATTAAGCCAAACTGAAAGGCAGCAAAGAATGCGGAAGGAATGGGAACAGTGTTTACAAGTGCTGCTTGCATAACAGTGCCTGGCTCTGTATGTTGATTAAGCTATATTTGAAGTGAGACGTCTTTGGTTCTGACTCATTATTGAGACATTTAGGAGGTTCAAACTTGTGCAGTGACGTCTCTAGTTATAACTTCAATGGATCAGGCCACTTAAATATGATACATACTTTATAATAAGTGTTCGTGCCAGAACTGGTGCCATTTGCATCTCTCATATTCATATACTACCAAGTCTTATTTTCACCAAGGCTGCATTTATTTGATGAAAAACAGTATTGTGAAATAGCATTATAATTTTGAAATAACTCTTTTCTATTTTATTATATTTTAATTTGCAATTTATTCCTGTGATGTAAAAGCTAAATTTTACTCCAGGCTTCATTATCACGTGATCCTTCAGAAATCAGTCTAGTATGCTGATTTGATGCTAAAGAAACATATCTTATTATTATCAGTGTTGAAAACTGTTGCTTGTAACTGTTGCAGCTTAATATTTCTGAGGAAACTGATACTTTTTTTTTTTTTAGGATTCTTTGATAAATAGAAAATTCAAAAGAGCAGCATTTATTTGAAATATAAATTTTTGGTAACATAAATGTCTTTACTGTCACTTTTGGTCAATTTAATTTCCCTTTGCCAAATAAAAGTATTAATTTCTTTAAAAAAAAAAAAAGTAGTCGTAAATGGTATTTGTAAAAATATGTGCATATATATAAAAAAACAAAAACTCAAATATATAGTGATTTATTCATGATTTTACCCATCCTGTTTTCATTTCTCTGCAGATTTTCAGGAACCATATGCTGTAGTGGTCCTCCTCGAAAAGGATTTAGTTCTTATTGACCTTGCACAAAACGGGTACTTATCACCCACAGCATTTGCGTCATATTTGTGTCTAACATGTTTGACGCTATCACACTTTTCCACCACAGTGTCAATCTTATTTTTTTGACCTCTGATGTTTTTCAGTTACCCTATCTTTGAAAATCCGTATCCCATGATGATTCATGAGTCTCCTGTGACGTGTTGTGAGTACTTAGCCGATTGTCCTGTGGACCTCATACCTGCACTTTACTCTGTCGGGTCTCGCCAGAAACGACAGGGCTACAGCAAAAAGGTACAACAGCATGCACACACTCATTTAAAGGTGCTAATCGGTTAATGATGTCTTTTAAGTTATAACGTCCTGCCTACACACATGCACCTTGGCTTTTGAGTGACTAGATTACAGTCCCTCGTGAATCGTGCCATTGCCCTATGCCTGCGTGACTTCAGGCCCCCGCCATGCAGCACATTGTGTCCTCAGACTGTGTGGGTCAGAGACACAGACAGGGGTATTTATGGGTATGAAAGAAATCATGACCTCTCAGCCAAGACTGGAGTGCGGAGTGTAAGTTCTGGGTCTGTCTCCCACAGGGAGCAGGTTAACTCAGACAGCCCACTTTGAATCACAGCACTTCTGAATACCTTTGAATAAACTGCTTCAGCTTCCACGCCTCGTGAGGAAATGCTTTCCTATAGAGTCTCGCCAGCCGTTTAATAAAGGTTCCACCCACGTTGCAGAAATGTTTTGTGGCTGCCAGTGCAAGCCACAGTCATTATATTAAGAGTATGCTTACTAAAACTTACAAATTGGCCGATTTCGTTTTATTAAGTTTCCCAGGAATGCTCACATGCTTTAGGGCAATATCTACTAAATTTCCTCTATTCTAAGTCGGATTTATGTGGTTTGCTTTCGTGGATTTAAGTGCTTTTATGTGGTTCTGTTGTTCATCACAGGAATGGCCTATCAGTGGCGGAAACTGGGGCTTGGGCACACAAAGCTACCCTGAAATAATAATAACTGGGTAAGAGCAGTGTGTGCTTGTGTGTGAGCGAGTGAATGTGTGTGTATGCTCTGTTCTCTCTTGCCGTTCGTAGTTCTGCTGAAATGGCAGAAATGGCAAAAAAAGACTTAAATGGAGTAAAAGAAGAAGGCAGGGTATAAGAAGAGGGAGGAGGAGTGCAGAAGAGAGGGTAATGAGCAGGACAAGATGGTAGCGAAAGGGAAGTATGACAAAAAAGTAAGCATTTTCTGATGTACCGCCATGGGATGACAGAAGCTTTTTTAGTGGGTTTGACAGCAGTGGGAAGAGCACTTCCTCTCATCTCTTGACTAGCTTTTATCTGACATAGCAACTTAGCTTACCTCGGTGGTTTGTTTGAGTACATGTGGTATTGGGAAAGTGGCAGTGAGTTTATGTAGGTTTGTGTATGAAAATGTATGAGAAAGTTAAAATAAAAGATTCTCTGCTCTTCTTGCAGGCATGCAGATGGTTCAGTGAAGTTCTGGGATGCTTCAGCAAGTGAGTACCGAGCCTTTCTGACTTCACATTCACCTTATTTACCACTTGTGTGCGGTATAATAGTTTTTCAAATCTCATAAACTTGCTTCAAACACATTTGAATTTCATATTGAATTCGACAGACACATTTATCTAAAAACAAAAGTTTTATATCAGATTTTTGTCATCCTTCGGACATGAACCCATGACCTTGGTATTGATAGTGACATGCACTGCTATTTTGGTGACAGCAAACACTGTAGACCAAAGTAGTTCAATCATATTACTGTGAATGGCAAGTGCAACACTCAACATAGCGGAATTAGTAAGCTCTGGTGCCTATGGAAAGAGTCAGTTTACTGACTGCACATGCCCATTGGCTTTACCAACCCAAAATACATGCTTTTTTTCACTCAATGTGAGCAATTTGAGAACAGCATTTATGGGTCAGTTTATGTCAGATATTATTGCTATTTTGAAATACGTTATTTAAATATGAGTTTGGTAAAGCAGTTTTTTGAGATTATGATATTCCCCATTCAAGTAGAGTTGGTGTTGCATGCCTGAAATTGCTGCCCGGAGGCATTACAAATCAGTGTAACTGATTTTCTTTGAAAGGGACTTTGGCTACAGTTACAGTCACATTTGACTAACACTGTTAAATATCTAATTAATAACTGGATTCTGCTGACCACTGTTGGAGTATAACTTGACTTCAGACATAATTTACCTTAACAATAAGGTAATTTTCCATGATTTATGACCCAACTGGAGACTGACCTTATAATGTCACACACAAAAAATTCCCCAGATCCCACAGGCTTTTTCTGACCTTGTGCACCGCTGAGAGAGACCAGCGTGGTGAGAGTGTTACCTGTATGCCATTTGACCTTGCTTAAACTGTGAGCTTGACAGACTACAGTTTCCACTGTTCCTGTACCTCCTGTCGGTGCTAAAGGACATATTGCAATATTAAAAATACCACAAAGGTTGTAAACCCCTCACACAAGTGCTTGTTTAACATTCAAATGGGTTTTCTTAGTGGTAAGATAATTTAAAACCAAAGTGGGCCTCATTTTGTTCAGTGGGCCTCAAAGTTGGAGGAGTACATTCTTCTCGATATAGATTATTAAAGGATCCCATGTTTTGTAAAACGTTCTGGAGGAAAACTGCGATGGTGAGAATGGTGACTTCATTGTAATCAGCACCAACAGCGATGTTGATTTGCAAGATTTAGCCTCCGCTTCACACCATTCTATATGTGGGGACTGAAACCAATAAATAACTTTTTGTAAATTTGCTGCCCAATAATCAATCACACAAGATATGAATTGGCAAAAGTTTGCATCTGAAAGTAAAGTTGTGTTTAGCCTCCATACTGACCATGTTGGGTAGTTATAAGTAAAACAAATATCAAGAATTACGGGGGCGTGATCTGATTCGACAATAGCAGAGTATTCTATGTTTTTTATTGCTGGGATAAGCCTTTTATCAGTAAAGAAATAATCTATCCTTGAGTACGTCTGATGGACATGTGAAAAGCAAGAGAATTCTTTTTTTTTCAGGAAATAAAAACCTCCATGGATCCACACTTCCAATTTGAGTCATATATCCAGCAATAATCTGAGACATTTTTAAAAGTGGTACAGTTTTAGGGTTGGAACGATCCATAGCTGTATCCATCACACAATTCAAATCCCCACCAAATATAAGATGATAAGTGTTTAAATCTGGTAACAAGGAAAATATTTTTTTCTCAAAATTAACGTCATCCCAGTTGGGTGCGTAGACACTAACCAGGACTACTGGTGTGCTGAAAAGATGGCCTGATACACTAATGTACCGCCCTTGGGGATCTGAATCAGAATCAGAATCAGAATCAGAATGAGCTTTATTGCCAGGTATGTTTACACATACGAGGAATTTGTTTTCGTGACAGAAGCTTCCACAGTGTCGTAAAATCGTTTCAGATGCAGTAAATTGTACTTTTTTTATGAATTATAATGGCTGCACCTCTAGCCCTATGGTTAAAGTTAGAATGGTAAACCTGGCCAACCCAAGTTTTTCGAAGTCGGTTGTGATCTTCAATATGTAGGTGTGTTTCCTGTAGAAAGGCTATTTCTGTTTTTAGTCTCTTAATATGTGTAAATATACGAGTTCTTTTCACTGGTCCATTTAACCCTCTAACATTCCAGCTAACAAAGCGTGTTGCTGACCCTCCGGAACATTTCACTTTATTGTCCATATCTGCCATTATTTATCAATAACTGTCTGTATGCCCAAATATTGTATCCACAATAAGCTGTATCCTCTGACTGAACAAAACATAAAAAAAACAAATGATAAACCTTGATAAACAACGAAAACTATATTACATTCTAGATTTGTCCGTTGAACAAAGACAAACCGCAGCGCACAACAATCTCTCAGCTCCCGATAATCCAAGTCCATATACATTTCATTTTTCCCCAGAGCTCCCGAAGTAATCAGAGCATACAAAGAAAAATCAAGCATACAAATAAGTGTCGCTTCTTCACCTCACATTGCCAAACCGGAAGCCCCATAAGACTACATTTTAACAATGTTTTTTAAAGCAATTAAATTAACATTATTGTGATGTTAGATAATCGTTAGATAAAGATGTTAGATAATGCACAAAAATCGTCTCGGGTTATGCATGTAACCATGGTTCCCCGAAGGGAACGAGATGCTGTGTCGAAACGCTACGGGAACGCCTTGTAATGTACCTCCACACGCCATATGTAATCAGTCCAATGGATGGGCGAGACGTAACGGGCGGGGTGATGTAACGACCAGGAAGCTTAAAAGCACGTGCGGTGGAACTGGCGTCAGCTTCTAGGAATGAAGCAAGCGCTCGCAGGGATGCCGGAAGTATGGCACTGAGACGCAGCGTCTCGTTCCCTTCGGGGAACCATGGTTACATGCGTAACCCGAGACGTTCCCCTTCAGGAACTCGAGCTGCGTTGAAACGCTACGGGAATGAGCCCCCGTGGAGCTGGATGAGTCAGAGAGTATCAGAGGGGAGAGTGCGATGTCTCTTGAGTCACGAACAGGTCCACCTGAGCCTGACCAAAAACTCTTCGTACCCCGGGCCTCGGCCCCTGCCTCGACTGGATGTCTGCTTCCATAATGAAAAGCCCAGGAATGTGAACTGCTCTCAGTGAGAGGAGTTTGCCCTGAGACCACACAAGGATCTGGAGCACCTGCCTGTAAAGGGGGCACGAACGCAGACCTCCCTGGTAGTTGATATAAGAGATCACCGCTGTGTCGTCGGTGCGCACCAACACATGGCGACCTCTTAGGTCTGGGAGAAAGTGTTTCAATGCTAGAAACACGGCCAGCATCTCCAGGCAGTTGAAGTGCCATGTGAGATGGCGGCCGCTCCACAGACCGTGGGCTGAGCGGCCACTCATGACCGTGAGGGATGCGTCCGTCGCTAGCATTATGCGGCGACAAGGAGCTCCCAGCACCGAGCCCTGAGCCAAGAACCAAGGTTTCCTCCACATGTCTAAGGCACGTAGGCATTGCTGCTTGACCTTGAGCATGCAAAGCGGGTTTCCCCTCGGGGAGAACCCCTTGGTCTTGAGCCACCACTGTAGGGGTCTCATGTACAGCAGGCCAAGAGATATCATGTTGGATGCAGCTGCCATCAGACCCAGCAGTTTTTGAACTGCTTGACAGTGAGTGACAGACCTTCTCTCACTCTCGTGACTACAGTGAGGATCGACTCGATCCGAACAGGGGACAAACGTGCCTGCATCGTGGTCGCATTCCACACCACGCCCAGATAAGTGGTTCTCTGTAATGGAGAAAGCACACTTTTCTTGGCGTTAAGTCTTAACCCCAGCTCTTTCATGTGAGCGAGAATGACATCTCAATGCCGAACCGCCCTCTGCTCAGATTGAGCTAATATCAACCAATCGTAGATGTGGTTGAGTATGCGGATGCCCTTGAGTCACAGAGGAGCCAGAGCAGCATCCACACACTTCGTGAAAGTGCGGGGTGAGAGTGCAAGGCCGTAGGGAAGAACCCGATATTGGTAGGCTTTTGCCCCCAAAAGCCACCTCAGGAACTTCCTGTGATGGGGAAGGATGGAGATGGGCCGAGCTCTAGGAGTGGAGGCCTCAGCATAACGACTCTCTAAAGCGAGAGGAGGCCTCTACACCCCACGCTAGCTTATGCTCAGACTGTCCTAGCGGAGCTCTGGCGAGCGGAGGCCTCAGAAACCCTCTGTAGTGAGAGGAGGCCTGACGACACTCGCTGAAAAAAGGCTCAACATGACGACTCTCTAAAGCGAGAGGAGGCCTCTCGAAGCGCAACCCTCCATCCTTTTCTGGAATGATGAAGTACCGGCTGTAGAACCCGGACTCTCTGTCGAGAGGAGGGACCACCTTGATGACCTCCTTCCTCAAGAGAGTGTTTACTTCTTGTTCCATTACCAGAGCCTGCTCGTGGCCCCACCAGAGTGGGGGTGAAGTACCGACTGTAGAACCCAGACTCTGCTACGTGAGGAGGGACCACCTCGATGGCCTCCTTCCTCAAGAGAGTGTTTACTTCTTGTTCCGTTACCAGAGCCTGCTCGGGGCCCCACCAGAGTGGGAATCACCCCGTTGAACTGAGGCGGAAGAGAACCACGCTGGATTCTGTAGCCTCTCTCTGCAGTGTGCAGGACCCACCGAGACACATTTGGCAGTAGTTTCCACGCTGCCAAATAGTCTACTAAGGTAATCAGTCTCTCGAGACTGACCTCTGGTGTAACCAGAATGGCTAGCTCGGTGCCCTGAAGTGGCGGACCGGCAGGGGACGGCCGTACTAGCTGCTCTAGAGACCTCCGTAGAGGTAGCGAGCCTCTTAGCACCGCTACGATTCTGGGCGGTAACTGAGAGAAGCGCTCACCGGAGACCGCTGTGCCCTGGAGCACCGGCAGGGTTGGCAGACCGATCTCCTGAGGACACTGAAGAGAGACGGACACCGTGTAATGCTTTGTACACCACTCTTCCCCAATGGGAGCTGGCCCTCAGAAGTCCTAGGCCTTAGGCGTCAGGACGATTTAGACGAAGACTATCCAGCGAGAATGACGGTCCGCAGAACCGCCTTCCGCTAGAAGCCTTCGGCCTGGGAGCGCCCCTCTGAATCTAGACTTTGCGGAGTACGAGAAGTGACGCCCCCAGAATGAGGAGCTGGAACACGGTAGGTTGGGACTGCTCCCGCCCAGCAGCCCCTGCTGACCGCCTCAACCTACTTTGCCGAGTACGAGAAGTGACGCCCCCAGAATGAGGAGCTGGAACACGGTAGGTTGGGACTGCTCCCGCCCAGCAGCCCCTGCTGACCGCCTCAACATCCTCGGAGGAAGAGAGGTAAACACGTGCTCTCACTCGAATATCTAACTACTCATAGTCAGATAAATACTTCATTTTATTCCTCACAATTAAATGCAGTCAAACAACCAGACGAGTAAACACGGTCTGGTGTGATAAGATT